GGCTGTGTAAATTGCTGTGTACCAATGCTGTACACATAGCAAAGTTCTTTTTCTTAATAAAGTTGACTTTTTAAATTGGAACTCTAAGTTTTAATATGGTATCAGAACATATTAAATTCCAACGAGTAATTTGATCTAATTAAGATTAAAAAATGAACATATCAATTTAAAAATTGGTTTGTTCAAACGAGTTATCATCTTACTATATCAAACTAAGGGACAAATCTCACATTTGATAATTACCAAAATAGAGACTAACATATAAAAGTTTGAGTTATTTTTCTTAATTAGGTCATCCCTTTCAAATGAAATTCAAGTCTTAACAACACCAATAATAATGAGTGGTCTTTCCTCATAATAAACCTCGCTCCATTCACCACAAGATATTAACAAATATTGAATATGAAGTAGACGCTGGGATCATTTGATAGATCCCCAGGAAAGAGGCAGAATAATTTTTTTGGGAATCGCTCTATTGGTTAAATTAGCAATAACACTCCCTTCGTGGTAGAGGATTATTTACATAGATATGTGCACTTGATATATAAAAATTGGTTCTCATAATTTGTATGAACATTGTATTATGGAGTGTGAATACTTTAAGAGTGTTGGCGTAAAAGTTTCTCAAAACCTCTGTTTTTTTATGAACTCTTATTTATAGATGAATTTACACAATTAAGTTAGGACCCGTGTCTCTCACGGAGAGGAAAAAGTGAGAATCATCTCCCTGATTTTGGTGACTATGTTTAATGAAAACACTGGAACTTTACGTGACAAATATTAGAAGTTTGCTAAAGAGGAACTTCCTATGCCAATCGAATTATGTGATAGCCAAGCTCAAGGCTCGACAACAATGTTAATGATTGATCGAACAATTCTTAGAATGTTTTAAAGGCCGGACGTGTCTCAAAAGGCATAAACTTGGGCAAGGCACTGCTCAACCAGGTTAGGGGCTGGACATGCCTTCATGGTCAAGCACACACGAGCTGCTCCCTCTCTGGTCGTGCCTCATGGACACAACCAAGCCTTTGAGGTTTGGCCATGCCTAGCTTATTGACGTGTCGCATGTTTCAACAATATGGGTTATAGGCCTTTCGTTCCTTGGCACCAACACGTCCAACCTACGATCGACTATTAGATGGTGTCGTATAAATATATAAAATCACATTTAAATTATCTACATATATATTATTATCACAAGACAATTTATTAAAAGGATTAAGGAGTCAAAATCAAGGTGTTTAGTCCCGTGAGTAGGACGTGGGGGTGCGGTGGGCATAGAGGTGGGGGCAATTCCATTTGTCTTGGGAGACTGGCAGTGACAGTGCAGAGATATAGACACAAGTTTGATGTAATATTGGGTTTTAGACTGTTGCTACCTCGTGATCGGAGAATGCAGATCCATGGAAGACTGTTCCCCCCATTCACGTGGGCTCTTTTGACTGCCCAAGGACCAACCAAACCCACCCCTACCCCACCGCACCCCACCCCAGCTGCCTATATATATTCATGTATCTAACACTCGTTGCTGCAGCTCTCTATCCTAAGCTCCAGTTCAAACATTTTATTATTACACATCACTCTCAACTTACTATTTACACGTAGGTCTTTGCTGTGTGCATTGTACACCTCTGTCATTATATACGTTCCCCCTTCCCCACCCCACATCAAAATGATGCAAAGATGCAGTAGTTCTTGTGGGCAATGTTCTTGTGGATTATATCACAGTCCAAACAATTCATTCTCAATGATCTTTTCATCCCCCAATTCTAAACCATTTGATCATGATGGAGATATGTATTCTGCTTCGTCTTCTGTGGATTGCACCCTTTCTTTGAGCACTCCTTCGACTCGACTGACCAATGAGAATGAAAAAAAACGATACTCTTGCATGTCTAACTTTGGGTGGAACATATTGCAGTCCAAACCGCCGTCAACCGCTGGCAAAAACCGTGGTGGAAGTAATAGCAACACCAGTTCCGGCGTTGGAGACCCTCTTTTAGCCCGCCGCTGTGCTAATTGTGACACCACTTCTACTCCCCTCTGGAGGAACGGTCCAAGGGGCCCAAAGGTAATGTTAATTACTTTCTTATACATTTTCTTTTACTAAATTGCACGGAAATGAAAACGCTTTTTGGGGTTATCGAATAGTTTCCATTTTCTTACTAGTACTATAATCTAATCATTTGGAGACTAATGTTGGGTTTTTGAACTCGTTCCGCATGCAGTCTCTATGCAATGCTTGTGGGATCCGTTTCAAGAAGGAAGAGCGAAGGGCCACGGCCGCCTCCACCACTGCAGTTGCCAATAACGGTGGCGTCAATGCTGTCAATAACAGCTCATGGGTTCATCACCATTCACAGCACCAGAAAATGCCATGTTTTTCTTCATCAAATTATGCTAATGAATTCAGGGTCAATGAAGAAAATGATGTTCATGAATCTGATAATGGCATTCCATTCCTCACTTGGCGATTCAATGTCACAGACAGGCCAAATTTTGTTCATGATTTCACTAGATAAATTAGTCCAAGTAAAAATCAAGAAATCAACACAGAAAATGTTGAAATTCCTCAGCGCATCCGTCGGTGTACCTGGACATTCCAACTAATCGATCCATTTGATGTTGGTGATGGGTAAGGCTGAGGAAATTGATTTTCCTTCAGCCTTTTCTTTTGTGATTCATCTTTCATAAATGGAGTGTGAATGAGTTAATTCTATGTATCTTTTTTTACTTTGGCTTTCACTTTTTACCTTTGATCAAGCAACATATATTATTACTAGGTACACACTTTTGTGTTAGTCTGTTTCTTGAATATGACTAGTGCAAGTTGTTGTTAGCTTTAGATATAACATGTTATTTTCGTTGTAATCCACCTGAATATAGTCTTGTAATCCAACTGAGTCACGAGCTGAAGCTGCTGCTGCATATTGATGACCTAATTATCTTTTTCTTTTTTTTTTTCATAAATTCTCTCAAGGTCACTTTTTTTTTTTTGTCAGGGGGCTCCCCAAGTGTTGCCAAATCTCTGTGTGTGTGGGGGTGCGGGTGAAGAAATGAACTTGTGCTCTCAATTTGGCTGTGGAAAGGAAGTGTTAGATTTTTATCTATGGTGGGTGAAGATCCAAAAAGAAGTGTTTGCATCCTCGAGTTCAAAACAAAATAGTTTTAAAAGAAAAAGAAAAGATAAAAGATGTTTTTAAATAATCTGAATAATGACTAATTGAAAAATCAAGATTAAAAGGAACAATGAATAGGCTTTTTCAATTTCATGAATAATCAAATGGTATTTGAAGTATCTCCAATGCTGTTGTTGAGGAACGACGAGATTGCACTGATAGCACTTGCTGTGTTAATTATGCTCAAAATCTTTAATACTAATTGTTGGGAATTCAAACTTCACATATCGCTCGATATCACTTGATATGAAACCAACCACCGGATTGAGATGTTGAAGTTATATGACACAATAATGAAATATTTGATCACAAGTAAAAGAATAAAAGAAAACAAGAAAATATAATAGAGGAATTGAGAGATTTTATTACACAACAAATAACGAAGATGAAAAAAATATTACAATGATTATAAAAGTTAGTAATAATTTTTCTCACACTATTCTCACACCATAAAATTGTATAAAAGAACCTAATTATTATAGGAAATTATGTAGGGCGACGTCCAAACCTTAATAAATGAGTGGTAGTTGAAATATAATGTCAAGAACAGTTTAAAATGTGAAAAGGTATTGTGCCAAATAACACTCGCTCGAGTGCCAGCGCGGGCGACAGGGAGCAACCAAGTCTCGGGAGAAAACAGTGTTGTCAAGCGGCTTGGGACGACTTTTCTTCCCGATCCATAATTTCAATATTTTCAAATCCAATACAAATTTCAACTCCAAATAGGGTTTCCAAATAAAATTTCAACTTGAATAAGAATCCAAAAGCATTTCAAACTGAATTCCTCTTGACGTGCACTTCAATTAGAATTCTTCAATTATTTCAACAAGGAATTCGGGTCACACCTAAATTCTAACAAAGTGTATGAAGCTATACGTAATTTCAGCCGTCTCAAATTAATTATCTGCAACA